TATAATTATAATTATATATATATATATATATATATATATATATATATATATATAAACTAATATTGGGATTACTATCAAAGCCATTTACAAGTCAAAAGTACGTCATATAGTGCAGCAAAAATTTATAACTTGAACGAATCTTGTAACTCTTTAATTTAAAAAAAAAAAATTAAAAATTCAAAAATATTTATTTCTTTTTTTTTTTTATTGTTAAGACAAAATAAATATTTACAAAATTCTTAAATTTTGTACAATAGAAATACTATTTTTAACAAATACTTTAGCTAGGGTGTAAAACCTTCTTTACATGTGACTGAAACTTATATTTGATTTAAAAAATTGTTATTTCAAAAGGTTTCCAATGTTTCCTTTAGTTTATATGCAGTTGTATGATAAATGAAAAATATTCATTACACTTTTACTAAGTCTTGTCACCTTATATTTCATCGTTATTGATTGGAGACACCTCAAAAGATAGGATAGCTGGTCCTAAGATTTAATGAGGCCGCATATACAAAGCAGAATTTGAACTCCTGACCTTATTTAAGCGTGGATCAATTTCTACCACTGAAGCACACACTTAGAGTTCCTTATATCTCTCTTATTTTCACCTCAATCCACTCCAAAATTATAAGGCAGATAAATATCACAGCAAATTAGCGGCTCCATACTTATCATTGATCGATGTCAAAGTATAATTAATTGATCAACATTTATTAATAATGTTTAATAACAAAGTTTGTGAGAGAATGCATGATATCATGGTCTAAGGTTAACTATGAAATTGGTGCGAGTAGGCACCAATCTGGTGGTTGTGGAGTTGATGTTGATCCCTTCCAACACCATTTTCCGAAGTTGCTGTCATCTCATGACTCCGCCCTTTATAACGGTTCCGCGTAAGCTCTAGCAGTGAGTCTCTTACATCTTCAGCCTCAACTGTTTCACTGTCCTTTTTCTGTTCAACACCCCAAAAAAGAGAATATCCATGCTCATCCTTTGGAGTCTCATTAACCAATTCAAAGTATGCATATATATGAATGAACATCATGATATCACTCACAAAATACAAGAAGCTAGCTATATATCTTACCTCCACTTTAAAAACATTTGACACGAGGCCCTTGTGGCTGGTTACCGTGGCATGCACTACATCCATGCCAAGAGTGTTCAAAGCCTCCATCAATCTCACAAACCCACCAGGCCTGTGCTCACAGAACACCTTCACAAAATACTCGTTCCCATCTATCAGAGCCACTTCCACTTGAGGCTGCAATATACATGCAAATGTTACAGTACTCAAATTCGAGTCACCAAAGTACAATTCCCAAACAATACAGCACCACTCATGCATATCTAAACTAAAACAAAAAGCAAGACAAAATTATATATGGTATAGTTTGAAATCACTACATGTTCATATGTCTATAGTTCTGACTAGTTTCCATATGACATAGAGTCTGTTGGAATATAAGAGGTTTTGAGAGTTCTGATAAAAACAGTTCATTATTTTTAGTAGAGGAATTCTTGAAAACAATTCTAAACTGTATTCAAACTGTATGTTATATACATTAAAATATGATGCTCTTCAACTATATAATAATTTAAGGTAGGTTATATAGTTACCTCCATCTGCTGGGTCTGCTTGTCAATGACAGTAGCATCATCCTGCTTTTGTTTGGACACATGAAACCCAGTTTGGGCCTTACCATGTTCAGCGTTTGGGCCAAGTTCAGCTGCACCCACATAATGGTTATTGATGCAGTTGCTTTCAGTGTCTGCATTATCCTCAAGCTCATCTTGGAGCTCTTTCACTTGCTTCTGCAAATCCTTCACATACTCAATGGCATCTCCGAGAATGGAGGCCCTATCAAGCTTAGAGATTCTTGGAACCAAAGAACGAAGATTGTATAACCTGTCATTGAGTTTCTTCCTTCTCTTCCTCTCAGCCACAAGGTTTTTGGACTGGTTTCCCTTCCCATTCCTCCTCCTATACTTTCCATCTTCCTCTTCTTCGTTCTGGTCACTGCAATCTGACATTGAATCTGATCTTCCAACAACGTGTTTCAGCATGTCCTTGTCCTCCTCTTGCTTATCTTTCGAGTCCAAAGGCTCCACCACGTATTGTGAATCTGTCATGAGGCTTCTCTGATACGTGTCGTGCTCCTCTTCTGGGTTTGTTTGCTTGTCATGCAGGAAGGAACCTTGGTATTCTACTTCAGAAAACGCGTCGCTCTTCATTCTGTTGTTGTAGTTGAACTGCTGCATGAAGTTAAGTGGTGCATTGCATAAACCAGTGCGGTGGTCCATAGTGATGACGTGTTCTGAAGGGTGGAAGTGATTGATCCTGTTGTTCCCTTCGTTTTCTTCGCCTAAAAGTGGATTTGATTGCATGTTGCTCATTGAGTTCACGTCAATGTTGAAGCCCATTGAGTGGTTCACTGCTTCCTGCTCCACAAGAGCAATGCATTGGCTTGTCACGAAATCTATTACTTGATGATCTTCAGACACCTGTCAATCAACAAGGTTTGTTATATTTAGTACTATGAATGCTGCTTCCTAAAACCAGAAATTATTAGGTATATACCACCAAGTATCTATGATTTCAACTATATATGATAAGCATTTAAGTTTTAAAAAAAGTTATTATATATTATTCAGAGATTAATTAGATATTATGTATTTTAGTACTGCCTAATAAATTATTTCTCCTACTAGAACATATATATGATGTGACAGTACTTGTTTAGTTACAAACAGCTCAACTAGTCCACCTGGCACTGAAATCAAAACCTGGGTCCCAATTGTTTCCTGCAAAATAAATTAGCATTCAATATGTATGCAATTATCTTGGAAAAAAAAGTGAAATTAATTAGCTAGTTTAATGGTATTTAAAGTGACGGTAATATACTTACTTCCAAAATGTTAGGATCCAAACTGTTGGAATAGTTCACCCAATTGGGTTGGTTTGTTAATAGGGTCTGTGAATGAATCCTGTTCATTGTGGCATACTAGGTGAGACTCTAAATATTTCAATTGTAGATCAAGGGAAGGGAAATAGTGGAAGATTATATAATATGAAAATATACAAACCCAGGATTATCTATGGGTATGGAAATGGAAAGTTGAGAGAGAAGATCACAAGGCTTTGTTCTGGGGTGGGGAAAAGTGGTGTCCCTGCATGAAGCCACAGAAGAGACAGGGAAAAGATGTTCTTCGCCACCATTTTGATTGCTTTCAGTGCCAGCACAACAGCATCCCAACCACTCAAGAAACCTAGAGAAAACATCACAGTTGAACAGAATGAGAGAGAGATAAAGAGGGAGAGAAAAAGAAGAATATTAGTTAATTATGAATAACCTTTGGTCTTCACTCAGTTTCCAGTAGATACAGTAGTCCCATCCGTTCAAACCCACGAGGGGTCTTAGTCTCTCTACCAAGTTTTGCATCATGATGTTCATGTCACCTGCAATAATTGACAAAAGTGCCAATTGATGCTGAGAACCACTAGCTACCCGAAACAAACTAGGTACCAAACCAATCAAGAGTTTGTCAGGTATCAAATTGTTATATATGTCTTATGTCTCATATTTTTCTTTCTTTTCGATATAAAAATAGAAGAAGATATATATATTGTATTATATGATTGTGTAATATAATGTATATCTTGTAAAAGCATGAGTTGAGAAAAGTTTCACTTGATATGCTTATATATATATATCCTTGCACTTTTGAAACACCCACATGCATCCACGCAAATACCCCTATAAATAGAAAGCTAATGAGATATATAGACCTGGATGATGGTAGTGGAACTTCCACTTTGAGATTCCAAAGGCAAAGTGGCAAATGTTACTTCCTTTGACTAAAAGCAAAAAAAGCAACAGCAAAATTGAAGAATAAACAGACCAGAAGCAGAAGAAACAAAAACTGGTATCCATACAAACTTAGTTGATAGCAACAGTTAACAGCACCGTCACCCCAAAAATTTGAATCATATCCACCTTATGCCGAAAGTCCCATCTCAGCAAACTGAGACCAGAAGCAAAGTTCCTTAATTACATCAATGTTTAGGAAGAAGAAAGAAATATGCACACAATGTCCAAAGCGCACACACACAAACCCGGTTCCTTCCTTCTTTATTTCATAACAATATCATTATATAAATATATTGAGGCGTGGCTGTTACTATAGTAGGTGAACTGCAGAGGGTGAATGAGAGAGAGAGAGAGAGATTTTTGCAATGAAATAATTCTTTTGCCTTGTGTTGTGTTCAGTTAAGGAAGAGAAACGAGAAATGAGGAAAGAAAGGTGAATAGAAAGATATAGATGAGTTGGTGATGATGGCAGGAGCATATTGCATGATCCAAGATGGCGTACAAAACCTTAACTACCTTTTTCATTCGTTTTGGATACTATATTCTCTCAAACTTCAACTACTCCACTAATATACTTTATCAACCAAAATAGGAAACTCATATTACATGTATATATTCAAATGCTAGAAATAAACTTAGCAAATTATTCACTTGGCTATGCATGATTCATGTAAGTCTAATTGACACATTCACATTCTTCTGTAGTTATAAGCTTTTGGACAATTTTCTCCCCTTCAGTTACCTTGTGAGGGAAGTCCATTTCTAATAACCTTTGTTAATTTGAAGGAGAGTCACTCGTCTCAGTTTGCTTATCATATTGGTACATAATTTTAATTAGATGATAAAAATTGTACAATACTTGGTTGAACAAATAAAAAAAAACCAGAAAAGTGAACATGCAATTTAATTTACTTTTACAGATCTTTAGTATATAAATTTAATGAATCGGAGCCAGATCAGCTATTTGACATGCATCTTCATTTTCCCCTTGGTATCAATTTGACGCACGGATTTGACATGAAAATTGAGAAAGAAGCATATTATTGAGATTTGGAATTGAACCTTATCAATTGAATTATGATGCATTTTTTTTTTTTCAGAATTAGAAACACGATTCAAGGTTCACTTTGATGAATTATGACACAACTGAAACTAGTTTAATTTTTCCTAATTTCTAATAGTTATTTTTTGGATTGCAATTCCTAACCTTACCCTAAGATCGTTGAAACTATTTTTCCTTTTAAAAAAAAAAATATGCACTAACGATGTCTGACTATTAAATTTTTTTTTTCTTTTCAATTTTTATAACTCTTCTTTCATCATCATAAATTATTGCTCTATTATGACTATGGAGTTTGTGAATGTGTTGTGTTATTTATGAATAAGTCATATATATAAAATGAAACAAGGTATTTATCTCCATATATAAATGAAGTATAGTATATATGAGTGAACTGTAAAAAGCCTGTATCTATATATATATATATATATATATATATATATAT